ATTATGTCCAATTGATGTTAATGTTTTTCATGTTAGATGTGTTGCACATGTATTAAATTTAGTTGTACAAGATGGTATTTCATTATTTGATTGTGGTTGTATGAAAATTAAATATATTGTTGCCTAAATTTTTTATGCTCATAGAGGCTGCTAGAATTAGGGAATTTAATGAGCGTTGTGTACTATGTGAGTTGCCACCAAGAAAAATTCCAAGACATATTAAAACAAGGTGGAATTCTTTTTACGAAATGTTTTCAATTGCTTACGAATATAGAAGACCCATACAAATGGTGTTTAATGCTCATAAATTTAAATATTTTTTTCCTATTCCTCAAATTTATTTAACTGCTACTTTACTTAACCCTCAATATAAATTACGAGGTGTGCAGGGACTTGTTGAAACTTTTTATGATACTTTAGAAATTTTACCGAAAGAAATTTCAATTTGTGATATGTATAAGTCTAGCATAAAAGTAGAAGAAAAAAAATTGTATGAAAAATATAGAACTATAGGAAATACTCAAGGAGAAGTTGGTCAAACTTCTAATCCTCAGAGTAAAGATCGAATTAATAGTTTTATGCGAGGTTTTCTTGGTCTTAATTCTACTAACCGTGATGATTTTGAAGAATATCTTAATCAATCTTTAGAAACAGTGGACGATGACGATGGCAATGTAGAAATATTAGCATGGTAGAGGAGGCAAAGCGTTGCATTTCCAATTTTGAGCAAAATGGTTCGTGATGTTCTAACTATTCAAGCTTCATCAGTTGCATCGGAGGCTGCTTTTAGTGCGACAATGTTTCAACTTGACAATCATAGATATTCATTGGCGGAAGAAAGTTTGGAAACATCAGTTTTATTTAGAGATTGGGTCAACGCCGAGAGGAGGAATTATATTTTGCCAAAGTTAAGTTCCAAACAAGAAGCTTGGATTAATGCGGTAATTGGATCTAGTGACGATGAATTAGAGTCACAAGAGTTTCTAGCAAGTTTGCCAACACCGGAGGATGTTACCTTCGATATGATACGACAATTAAAATTGAATTTTAAAAGAGAATACAAATATTAGATTACATCCGAGAACTAATTGAAACAGAACCCTTCCTAGAAGGTGGCTGCGTAAATTAGTTACTCATCTAATATTTGTAACAAATATTAGTTTTACATATGAGAACTTATTGAAACAGAACCCTTCCTAAAAGGTGGCTGCGTAAATTAATTATTCATCTAATATTTGTAACAAATATTAGTTTTACATATGAGAACTTATTGAAACAGAACCCTTCCTAAAAGGTGGCTGCGTAAATTAATTATTCATCTAATATTTGTAACAAATATTAGTTTTACATATGAGAACTTATTGAAACAGAACCCTTCCTAAAAGGTGGCTGCGTAAATTAATTATTCATCTAATATCCACCAAGAAAAATTTTAAGACATTAAAACAAGGTGGAATTCTTTTTACGAAAT